GCTTACTGAAATACACCATTCATGATTATTATAGCTACAATGTTGCTTTGTGTTTTGCTTACAATACGTACGGAAATATCTTTCGAAGAAATCCCACACAACTGTAGCTTCGATGAGACAGCTGCGGGCAAAACATTAAAAGGGTGTGTAGAAAAATGGATGGTCGACACAGGAAAAGTAAATGTATCCTTTAGAATCCCATTACAAATGGAGATAAAGATTCTGCCGCTGGATATTCCTATCATTTTAAACATCAAATACGGTAGCAGAAAAGAAATAAATAAATCTTCATTGAAAACTTCTTGAAGAGAATTGTGAAATATAAATTTTTATATAATAAACAAACGCAAGTACTACAAGTACCAAATCTTACAGTAGAATAATATGATAAATGAAAATATGAAGAAAGAATAAGACCATCAATGACTATAAAATCTATTCGGATTATATCGTTAGCCATCACTCAAAGGATTTTCTTAGGCATAAAATAATTTTCTTTTTTCTTTCTGCGCTAATTTTAACCATTTTATTTAAAAAAACCTAAACCTTCAACAATAGTATTCCTAATATCAATTTCTTTGATGGGCTTCCATGAAAATATTCTATCAGAAAAAAAATTAGAAACAATGTTGTTACCTAAAAAAAATGAACATGGGATCGTCAATAAAAATGATGTGCTTTTGAGGGTGAGGCTTTAATTAGAACGCGCTATTCGCAACAAAGATTGTATTCTGAAATTGGCTTTTATTGCTGGAAGCACTAATTAGGAAGCCGTTTCAGGGTTGTCTTCATTGTAGCGAAAATAACCACAAATTGCAACGGTTCTCATGAAAACTAAAATTACGAAGTAGAAATATTTTTATTGGGTTACGATTACAAATGTTCCTTTGACAGATTAGTTTGACGTACGTACATTACAAACGTTGCAAATAAATGTTTATGGATTGTCAGTTTCTATGGGTGATTTATGGCGTGTTGATGAGAGCTAATAAGTTCAAAATCGTGATCAACGTTTAGATAAATTACTACCCAAGAATTCAAAGAATAGTGTCTGCCATCAGGATAATACAAAAAAATACCATTCTCTCATATTACAAAGAATAAATTACATATTTTTTGCAACATAACATAATTATAATACTTAAAAATATGAATGAATACTCACTGACGATATTTTTTATGACTAGGAAAAATCTAAAAAGTATTTATAGAATTGTATTTATAAAAGGACAGGAAGATATATTAAATGTAGAGTTTTATAAAGAGATCGTGCATATATCTGTCACAAAAGTCAATAAGTTTTCTTAAAAGAAAATTTATTATGAAATTCTCGCATAACCCGATGGCCTTTTAGGCATCGGGCTGATATTAAAAAAGTTAGTCACTTTGTAGAATCTATATAGATCTATATATTATGTATGAGTTGCTATAAAGACAGGTGTATATAATATGAAGAAAGTATTTAATCAAAAGACGAATAAAAATAGGTAATAAGAAAACTGTAGGAGGTAAATTGATTGCAAATGTGGGTTTTACTGCTATTTGTAGATCAAGGCTATAATCAAGACAGGGTAAAAAAATTACAGTAGGCTGAAAGCCGAATTTTTCCACATCTATGTATGTATCTTTCATAATACTTTCGATAATTAACATTGTTTAAAGTATCTACTACATCGAGAATTACTTAGTGTTACCTCCTGATCCTTTTTGCATGAAGAAGTTCTTGTGTTCAGTTATAAATTGGTATTTAATAGTGCATACAAAAAAGATAAGAAAATTTGTAATCGTCGGTTCTGTTAAAAAAATATCTTAAAAGTTACTCAACGTTTTAAGTTTTTGTATGCTTTGTTCGTATGGAAAAGTATGAAATTTGACATTCATTGGTGGCCTTCGTAGGCAGATAATTTTGACAATTGTCGCTTAATGCTAAAAGTAAAATGTTTATGAAGATACACAAGCATTATTAGCAAGTTTTAAAAAACGTTATTGAAAATTTTGGTGGAGGCGCCGGGACAATTAAGAATATGGGCTGTAGTTGGGCTATAACTTCGATTTATTTGAAGAAGATTGATCGCTTTCCATCTATAAATTATATTTTGACAATATAAATGAATTTAAAGATGCCAATTTGTATTTTTTTACAATTTGTAATATATGTACGTATGCAACCAAACATACAGCAAATATTACAACTCTAAAATATAGCTACAAAACAAGTTAGAAAACGTTTTTCACGTGAAATTGCACACTGTCGACGAACAAATAACAAAAGTTTACACACTTGACTAATTAATTAGCTATATTTTGAAAGACATCTTATAGGATTTGGTTAAAATTTTTTACGCAGTTGTCACGATCTTCTATTATATCATTATTTTGTATTTTTCGATTTTTGTCCTTTGAGCATGAGCTTTGGTATAATTTTGTTTGTATGCGAGAATGATTAAATTGGACATTGTTGTTGTAGACATTAACGCAGTTAAAGAACAACTCAGAAGTTACACCTAAGAATTCCTAAATCCTTAATAAATTCTTCGGGCTAGTAGCTAGCAAAGGGTTAAAAAATTTTGTTGTTCAATTTGGATGATAATGAAGATTTGATTTCATACTTAAATAATAATGATTACTGTAGGTGGCATTTTCATTAAGAAAATGATTATTACGTGTTCGTTAGTAAGGAAATTGAATTATTTACGCAGACATAACTAAGAATATTATAACTTTCAAATTCATTTGATAATATAATGATACGATTATCTGTTGTTATTAGGCATACAAATTAATGCTATAAAGTTATTGTTGTGCAACGTTCTTGTACATATTAATTCAAAGTCATGTATAGTTGCATACAGGTCTCGTTGTTTGCCCATATAAATCCAAGTTAGAAAGCAAACTTTGGCAGTAGTTAGTTTCCAGTTTTGGGAACGAGTTTAGGTTAAATTTGGTTTACTCATGTTAGCTTTGTAAATAGAGTTCTCCGTTTCAGAGGCAGGACCGAGAGTAATGGGACAGTAGTTGCTGTTAGCCCTGAATTAGGTGCAAGACACGTCGACTCGCAACACGACATATATTAATTACTTCTGAAGGGGTGTCTATGTGTTTCACACACGTTTCAACTGTCAAGTACAATGGTAACGTGCTACAAAGTTCGTCTACTTTCAGGGTCACTCTGCTTACTCAGTATTATAAATCCATTAGTTTATTACATCTACCCAAATCACAGAGTACACAATAGTATACAAATGTATGACCGGGGTATAAACTAGAGGGTGGAAGCTATACAGGGGATAAATTCGATAAGCTACTTATACACAGCTTGCTTAGTGTGTTTTTCCAGTATTTAATTGTATCTTGTCTTTTAGTTTTAAATATTCTTTAAGCAGATTATTATCTCCTTCTTTTCTAAGTTTTTCCTTATATATTTTAAGCCCCTTTTACTTTTGTGATCTGACAATCCCCATATTTCCCCTCCATACATCACTATACTTTCTACCAGTACTTCAAATAAATACCTTTTCTTTTCCCAACGTTCCATGAAATCCCTTTCAGATATGCTCATACTTTCCCTAAGATTGCAGTTGCCTTTTTATTTTAAGTTTCTTATTTGCTCTTCCGTTGTTCTTCTGTATGATGTACCCTAAGTAGTTGTACATTTTTACTTCTTCAATTTCTTTTCCTTCTCATGTAAATATTACCTTTTTCGTTCTTCCATCTCCATTTCTGTCTCTCAGTATCTTCGATTTATCCTTGTTCATCTCTGGGCCTCTTTCTACGATGTATCTTCCCATTTTTCTAAACATTTCTGTCATATCCTCTTCATTGTTCGCCATCAACACTATATCATCCTCGTAAGATACCTACTGTCCATACTTTCTTCATTCCCATGTGCAGCGACAAACGTTTAGTACGCTTAGACTTGCAGATGATGTAGCAGTATTAGCATCTAGCAAGGAGGAGTTACAAATAGCCTGATATTTAAACAAAAAAAAAGAAGGGAAAGGATGAATATAAAGATAAATGACGAAAAATTAGAAGAAGTGGCTGATTTTCGGTATCTAATAAGTCAAATAACTCAAGATGAAAGGATCAGTAAGCATTTAAATTAGTGGATAACGCAGGGCCGTGTTGTCTTTAGGGAAAAGAAGTTACTTGAATGCTCGCGATCGGTTAATTGAGAAATTCTCAGGCATGAAGGGTTGTAATGAGACATACTAGAAGCAGAATCAGGACCTAAGGACAGGAGAAGTAGACCTACATTAATTACTTTTCACAAATAGTTAAGGATATGGGATGTTCTAGTTTCAAAAAACTACTAAGATTATCTCATGATAGGAAAGATTATTAGAGGTACGTGTTCAACCAGTTTTAGGGCTGACGACCTGATGATGATGATGATGATGATGAAAGTATATAATAAACATTATTTAAGCAACCAATAAACAATAGGAACAGGTGTATGAGCACCACCCATTCTCTCTCCCCTAAATGGCTTGACTACCCTCGTCTATAATCATACTTTATACATTGTCCCTATATTTTTCCGAAAGTGTTAAAAAACAACTGATTGTAAATATTTTACGATAATTCAAATGATGGTCAATTTTGGCGTAAGTGAAATGTAGTTTTGAATATATGAAAATCAAATTATTGCCGTTTCCAGTTTTGCTGAAAACCATCGCAAGAGGGCATATTGTGTGGAATTTCGACTCTCTACCGACCGTAAAACCGGGAGAAGCTTTGCGGCGAATAATTTCGTGTTTAATTGCTCCGTTTGTCATGTGCATTTACATACCTAATTTATTTCCGTTGTAACCAGGGTTGTTGTTCATGCATTCATTAAATGAATTTTCGTTTGTCTGTCTGTCGGTAGTCTGCTGCTGTACCTCTACCCCCTTTAATACCGCGTACTCCACCTTTCTACACGATCTGTTGTGTTTGCCCATTGATTTCCGAATGTTTAATTAATTAATCGGATCAACAGGGTGTATCTAGGCAGTCTGTCATTCGTATATTTTCAGATGTTGCTGGGTTGGGGTTGTACAGGTCCCAAAACACACTCTTCCGGGGAGTCCCATGCTATTTAAGAATTCCACAAATCTACGTTGTAATGACTAATAAACTAAAAAGCATCGAATTTGCCGAATTAATTAAGTAGTTTTGAGCTTTCCCTCTTTGAAAATAAGAAAATCTCAAGTAAGTGGCTGAATAGCGCCATCTAAAGGTATTTACTGGCAACTGTTACTTACTAAACAGAATATAGGAGACAGTTTGCATTTGCTATAGGTATGTAAATCAACCAAATATAGAACAAGACCTTATTGATTGATCAGCAATTTGTTAAACTTTTGGTGAATTGATGAGATTAAAATCGTAATCCGCATGTTGAAAGCTACAGTTAGCAGTGAATATCTGCAGATGGCGATATAATACAAAATTACTTGATATTAATCATCTTTCTCACGTAGAGTATCTTCAGTTATAAGTTGCCAAAAGTACCTAATAATTAAAATCAAATCAAGTCTATCTTTTCGCAGTAGGTGTAGGTAACCGTGTTGCAACTCTTTCGGATTTTAAATTTTTCCCCTGTTACAGTTATTAATGTTGATATCTATCCAGAGGTTTTTACTTAGAAATTTGCAATTTAATTTGAGCAGAATAAATGGAACAGAAGATGGGATAATTTTGCACGGTAAATTGCTCCATTAACGAAAATTCCAGGAAAGTCGCTTTTTATTAAAATTGCACGTCATGGTGAGGGCGCGAATATTTTTCAACTGAGGTAACTCATGACCTCTTGGAGTAAACGTCATGGGCGGTAATAAAACATTCGGAAGAGATTTCCGTCAAGAGGGCAACTTTTTCTTCTTTGTGAAATATTATCGTCGCACATTAATCCCAACGGCTCATTACCTACAACTTGTCATATATTTTTATGGTTTCAATACTAAATAAGATCTGCTGTTACCTTATGTATTCTATTAGGCAGAAAACTATTCATAAAAGACTATATTTACCTTTAATGGAATTCAATTTCATAATCTAATGATGAGGATACCGTGGATAGAGAAGGTTACAAATAACGACGTATTAGAAAGAATAGGTATAAGCTGTTCATCGTAGTGTTTATTCTTATTATAACTATACTATAATGTTTCTGCTTTATCTTATATAGTTAAATGTTAAACGATGTTCCTGACTGATGTGAATGTACATACAATACCAATNCACTGATTGGTGAGATAATAAATTATTTATTACATTTTACGACCCAACATGTAAAACCTACAAGCTGGATTTCAGCATTGTAACAGAGCCGTAATAAATTAATTTTGTATAAAATGAACCGCCACATTAATAAATGTGCTCAAAACGTTTTGTTTTAATTGGACGATAACAAAATGTTGCGGTTGAAGATTTTTCAAAATATAATCGTAAAACTGACTGTATATAAAAATAACAGCAGCTTTTCACATGTAGGTGCTATAATTCAATTAAATTGATCCGGACTGCGGACAAACATATCGCCATGCAAGTGCCTATGTATTGATTTGTTAACAAATTCGAATACCTTTCGAATTGAATAAGCGCTAATGCGAATCAAGTTACGATTATAATTTTAAATTAAAATTCAATTGATAACCAGCTAGGTAAATCAGATGGTATAACAGTACAGGTTGCTAATTAACGAAAAGTGTTATCGTTTTGTAGACAACTACATTAAAATATACAGTACTATTCATATTTCTGTTTAATTTTATCAAATCCGTTTACCATCGATAAAGTTCGCATTTGGATATCAGTTATGTTGTAATATTCGAATATAAATAGTTTTTACTTTGAAATTTCCTTTTGGAAAATCCAAGAAAACACTACAAACAGAATATGATTTTCTTTGCTAATATTGCATTGTTTTTTAAATTACAAACACTAAACTTTAATGAATTTATTATCGTGTCAATATAAAATAACTGTAACACAACTATCTGATATAAGTTCAGTAAGATCTTTCGTAACTTCGTGTTAGAAGACGAGCAATTTAGTTTTAAAATAGTCCTCAATTCAATAACATTGATAGAAAATTATTTGACCTTTATTAGATCTCCAACGGAAGCGCAATGGGGTGCGGTTTCGCTTCGTAGCTTGAAAATACCTGTCAAAAGGTTAATGTAATTTTCTCTAAAAGGATTTCGGTTACCCTTTGTCTAGAGAAAACGATGTTTTATTTAGTTTTCTTTGTCGTTAATAGGGCTATATACAGTTAAGTGAAACCGTTGCAAACGCAAAGCCCACTGACTGGAGAATTTGTAGGGTTTTTGTGCTACCGCCGTGAAAAGTATCCATACAGATGAAACTGAGATTCTTTTATCTTTTCAGATTCGGTTTACAGGGGATTGGTCATCCCAAAATCCTTTACGGGATTAATGGAGTGTAGCAAGAGGTCTGCTTCACCCTCCTCTCTTCCTTTTTGTTTCGTTGCCTATCCCTTCGCCTGACAAACGAAGATTCATACATTATCTTTTTGTGTACGAGTCTGCTGGACCGTTTCTCTCATCAGTCACATTCATGCATCATGAACTTCATTCTTCTTACATTAGCTAAAATGGTCATGAATACCTAAAAGATAATTGGTGACGTTCTTCTATTGAAACAACATGCAATCTATTTCCTTTGTTCTGACGCTAACGATATTCTCAATTAGTTATACCGCAAGAACGTTAAATGGGTGGATGGGGGCCCAGCATTTGCCCAAGTGGTTCAAAGATACCACAGGAAAGGTAGATCCAGGACAGAAGGACCCTGAATCAAACCCTCCTTTCGAATGCTGAGTAATGGTCCAAACCGCTGGGTTATGTCGCTCGGTTAACCTACCAGAAATAACTTTTGGGTGTTTCATTCCTATCAAACACTAATGTTGATTAGCGGGCAGTCCCTCTGGATCACGACGGAAGGCCCTCTTCTTCAGCCTGCTTTCAGGAATCGTGGGAATGGGTGGGTCGTGGTTCGGGTGAGAAAAATGAGACGGACGAAATGAAGACAGAAGAGAATGAAAGATTATCTGTGGAATATTACTGCCTCAGCATTTGCCTAAGTGATCCAAGGAAACCACAGAAAAACTTGGACCAAGGTAGGCGGACCCGGAATCGAACCGGCGTCCTCCCGAATGCTAAGCAATGGTCTAAACCTCTACGCCATGCCGCTTGGTAACCTACCGGTCATACTGAAGAAGCTTGTAAAGAACGAGTTTATTTAATATCCGAATAGAGGCAGTGTATCACCATCTGGTTGGTATTTGCTCCTACTGAATTATATACGTAATAATCACGTAAACCAATGAGTATTGAAAAGACTGACATGTATGAAAGGTCATTTTATTGTAGATAATCCAAATAAGCATTTCATACTGATGCTTGCATTTTCTTGCTTAGAAGTTTTCTATTTCTGTAGAATCTGCTTCAGATTATAATTACATCCACTACAGCTTTTTTATTTGGAAAGTAATAAAAGAGCAAGCAGGTTGTACAGCAAAAATACGTTTATTTTACAAAAATTAGTTCAATTTTAAACGATGTTAAATTGCTTTCTACGTACAGTTTTCATTCGCGGAACTTCTAAAATTAGTTTTGTCAGTTAGTTGAGCAAATTCAAATTCAAGTAGCACTCCGAACTGGATTATAAAGCGTGCTCGAGAATTACTATCCAAAACAAGAATTTCCTCAACTTTTCAAAGAATCTTGTCGGGATATGCTTTTCACCCCTCTACCACCCTATGAAGCGAATTCGACATTTAAACCTTCTTCTTTTACAACTACATACTTCGAAACTTTATCGCTGAATTTTGCATAAAAGATTGATGGAATAATTTTATTTGAAAACAAACTTTAAAAGGGATAAGTATCAAGAAAAATTTTGTTGAATTATAGCACTTCTAAGTTTGCCATTTGTTTCACATACATGTAATATGTATTTAGGTAATCCCTAGACGTTCACAGCCGATGCTATTGAAATTCTATTATTCTTGTTCAGCTGTTTTACCTTGGTCGATAGCGATCTACAATTCCAAATGTTTTACTGTCCATCACTGACAGTTTCTCAGTGTCAATTGAGCTGAAGAAAAGGATTCAACCAAGGGTAATCCTACCACTTACTACCCACTATTACCTTACATTACATAGCGACAAGTAGTGAACCGTTTAAAATAGCAGATCGTCATTAACCAAAGCAAAACCGTGGAGAAAGTTAATGTCCCTGCATGATACATTCTTTACTCAGTGGTATATCTGGCGCTAAGTATAAATTTATTAGTATTAAACAAGATCCTTCTGGTATAAATAAAGGATATAAGCTGTTGGTTGAGCTACCGAAGTTCTTCATCAACATTTTGTCGAAATTGTCAGATTTGGATTAAAAAAAAAACTTTGGGTGTTTCATTCCCACCAGCCAGTAATGCTGGTGGGCGGGCAGTTCCTCCGGACTACGCCGGAAGGTAGGCCGGAAGGCCTTCTTCAGCCTATTTTCAGCATTCGTGGGAATGGATGGGTGGTGGGGTTCGGGTGAGAAAGATGAGACGGACGAAATGAAGACAGAAGAGAATGAAAGATTATCTGTGGAATATTACTGCCTCAGCATTTGCCAAAGTGGTCCAGAGAAACCACAGAAAAACTTGGACCAAGGCAGACGGACCCGGATTCGAACCCGAATGCTAAGCAATGGTCTAAACCTCTAGGCCACGCCGCTCGGTCTTAGACCAAAATTTCCAATAGACAGTTACCAGCGTTTGATAAACTGCCACAAACAGCACAGTAAACGCCATCTGTTAGTACGTACAGCATGTGTTCTGAATTTAGGGCACAAACAATTTCCACCCCTTTACTGTTACTGTTATTATTACAAAATTAAATAAGTTTTGTTTAGTTTATAGAGACCATTCGTGGTGACCTTTTTGTTGTCCGAAGTTTAATAGGCCTTCATAATGTATATTTATTGTACACGAGCATACACAGGCCAGGCCAAGCGATTAGCAGATAGGCTTGGACGGCTCCGTAGAAATTAATGTTCACCTTTCATATCGCGGCTAACATGATACAAAACAAGCGGAAACAAATCAAAATGTAAGCCGTACCCCGCAAATACGGTGATTAATTAATCCTACAACAAACTGACCCAACACGGCCTGTGTATGAACTCATTTAAGGCCTGCTTGTACGTATAATGTTTGACGTTCACCTTTCCTATACAAAAAGAGCTGTTTTTGTATTTCCACTACGTTTAATTATCTCGATTAAACATTATGTTTATAATTGTTAGAGCTTATTATTAATTTTTAATATTAATAATTATGTGTTCTTTCAGCACAGGACAAAGTAGTATTACGTAGTTAGCATCAGCAATTTCTTATGCTTAGGTGTACGATATGTTACATATCTATTTACAAATAATTCCTTTAAATTTAATTTTTCAAACAATTTTTAACACAATCTAATACGTGTTAAGTATATTATTTTGAAAATATTCAAATAACTACAATGTATGACGATAGGGTAGTAGGTATAATCGATTTATTGAATGTACATACCATGGCATATAAAGTTGCAGCCACCTGGTGCAGCTACTTCTTCTTCTTGTCCTTTTTGCCTTTATCTTTTTTTCCTTTTTTGGAGGCTTTAGGTAGTATTCTTTCAATTACTTCGTCAACATACATCTTTCTGAGTTTCTGTCTTTTCGGCATTCCTGAAAATAAAAATTTTATACAATTTAATTGATATACTATCAAAAAAATGATTTTCTGAAATCACCATCAAGTCAAATAATCCAATAAACCTACACGATTATATTGAATGACTTTTTCTCTTAGTTCAAACGTAATTAATATACGCTGTAAGAAATTACTATAATTAAGAGAAATAGAGAATTAATTACTGGATTACATATAAGATATTTAACAGAACACATAAAACTGATTGTCCAAGGGGTAATAGAGGAATACTAATGGCAAATTATAAATTTGCTTAAGAATAGTTTTAACCAAGGGGTTTTGTTAGTCTCTCATGTTATAATATTATGATGAACAAAGTCATTGTATTCGGTAAAGTTTAGGATCATATGAAGGCTACAATGGTAGGAAAAGACAACACAAACGAAGTGAACTTTTCTGGTGGACTGCCCGCTAAACGAGCATCGAAAATAATTATCCATTAACCCACCCCTCCGAATGTACTCAGCTGCTTTCGTTTCTAAATATGTATCGCAGGTGTAACACTCAACATGGGGAACTTTTCTCAAAGCATAAGCCAATATTTCCTCGTCGGTGCGTGGTACGTAATCAAACTTTGGTGGTTTTCGCCTTTTGCACTTATGCAATAAAACGTCGTACTTTGTTAAACGTTTCTTCTCTTCAGCTCGCTCTTCTAAATAGTCCAGCCAGCGAAGAAATGATTCGGTTTCTTCGCCGTTCGGTTCGCAATCTTCTAAAAGCAGATACACTTTTTTGTCGGCCATGAACAAAATCATACTAATGAATGTAAAATATTTTTCAATTCTAAAGAAACGATTTCTAGCGTACTGCCAATACACTCGAGGATCACCGTATAAATACAGGGTGGGATAAAGTTGATGAATTTTTAACAGTAGATCGAAATACATCAACTGTTGAAGATTAGGGAAACCGATTTGGTGACGAGTAATAACTTCAGAAGCATATTTGCTTACTACGACTAATTCAAAATCCATTGAATTGCTGCTTATTAATAATAAGAACGAAAAATTTTGAGGAGAAAAAAACGAAAAGAAACGGACACGTTAGGTTTATATTATAACCTAAATTTTGACATTCGGATTGTCTAAAAATTATATCTTTATATATTTAAATGATATACCTTCAGTTAACTTTGATTATTAAACTAATGATAGCGTGGAAGAAGACGACACTACGACTGTCTCAACCATGTCTCAACATTTAATTAGACGATAATCAATGGATTAACTCTGTGTATTAATCAAAGATGTCAAATAAATTAGTTAAAAGATCCTTACAATAGCACCAATGATTAATCATGTTTTTTTTATGTTAGACAGCGTTATCCTTTTACTAATTATATTGGCTAACCATTGAAATTATGTGTAAACACGTCATTGAATGAAATTTATAACAATATATAAGTATTAATTGTATTGGTCATTTCTAGTATTTATCAACATGATAAATGTAATTGCCTATTACAATATTGTAAGAAATCTAATTCACTTTTTAACTTCAACTAGCCCAAATGATATCAGATTATGATTCTATATCTAATCACGAGTTAGTTAATGCATTACAAGATCATATTCAATGATCTGCTAACCCTGAAGTTACCACAGCAATGCGAAGCCATCCACTATAACTTTCCAACATAAGAAATCCGTTCGTCAGTCACAAATAACTGACTTTTTTACAGTAAAATAGTAAATACAAACATATATGTATATATGTACTAGTAGTACATACATATGTACATACTTACTATGTATGTAAAAATATGTTGATAGTACTGTTTCATAATTTTCGTTATTCCTTTGAAAAGCATAGATATTAAGGCACTAATGTAAAATTTAACCAAATTTACTGAAATAAATACATAAATGTTCATTCACAAAGAAATACTAATTAAAGAAGTATTATTTGATAACTCGATGTTTTTACGTGTCACATCGCAGTTCGAGTTATCGAAGTTCGACTGTATTTCGAAGCTTATTTTAGGAGGATTGAATGTTTTCAATAGCATCCGGGTGTAGCGAATATATATTACCTACACTTTATATGCTTGTCGAGAGCATTCAGTGTATGGCCACGACGTATAATTTGCAAAAAATTCGAGAGAAAGCGAACGAGGACATACACGTCGAAAATTTAAGTGCGCTGCTCTTTTATGTTTCGGAGTTATCCTTCAGAGTGACGCTCGAAAAAAAAAAAAAACGTTTCCAACACTCGGACTCCCACTATGTCTGTATGTGAAATTTCATACAGTTGCTGTCATGTGCAATAACGTAAAGAATAATGCATTTTAGAGACCTTCCCGCAACCTCTATGTATATTAGTCTCAGTTTGCAACTTTTTGTTTATTTTATGCTTTACGCTTATTTAACAATTTCTCTTTCTTCAAAGCAAAAGAACAAATGGACATCAAACCCTCTGTACAGTAATTTTCTGATCTAAATACAACAGATCTGCATTGCAGATGAACTAAAGGACCCGATTGTTATGGTTACATGGTCGTCCTGCTGTTGCCTATTCGGCTGTAGACGTTTAAAGGCAGCCAACAACAAAGCGCCATCCATTTCGGAAACTGTAAACCGCCGGCGCCCAAATGTCGCGACGGACACAGATGCAAGGCGACACGTCGTGGACAGAGCTTTTCTCAGGGTTTATGAATAAAAGGAAAATCAATCTCCCTCCATGTTTTAGATTGTTTACATCCCGTTCTCGTCTATTTTTATCTAATGGCACTCTTAAATAATCAATAAAATTATCACAACAACTCAAAATCGTCCAAATTGAATATACTAAAAGATAGTGCTTATGAACGATTGTACATTCATAGGGTGGCTACGTAATTGCTAGTGAAGCACCATGGAGACCCCAAATCGAACTATCTAATTCCTCTACATCTCCTGTAGTTGTAGAGATTCGTTTCCACCCTACACTTCCGGTTCCAAAATTGACTATCCAGTTACTTCTACAGTTTCTGTAATTGTAGATGACCATTTCCGCACTTAACATCCGGCTAAACTGTTCAATTGCCTCTAAAGTTTCTGGAGTTATAAAGGTCCGTCGCCGCCTTACACATCCAGCTACAAGATTGACTGTTCAGTTACCTCTATAGTTTTTGGAGTTGTTAATATCCTACACATTCGGTGGCAAAATTGACTGTCCAGTTGCCTCTACGGTTTCAAGAGTTATAGTGATACGTAGCCACCCTATACATCCACCTAAACTATTCAGTTGCCTGTGCAGCTTTTGGAGCTGTATAGGTCCGTTGCCGCTCTACACATCCAGCTGCAAGATTGACTGCCCTTTACTTTCTGTTGTAAAATTGACTCTAAAGTTGTCCCTACAGTTTTAAAAGTTGTAGAGATACGTTGCCGCCCTAAACTTCCGGCAAAACTATTCAGTTGCCTCTTCAATTTCTGGAGTTGTAGAGGTTCATTCCCCCCCTAAACTTCCGGAAAAACTGTTCAGTTGCCTCTAAGTTTCTGTAGTTGTAGATGTTCATTCCCCCCCTAAACTTCCGGCAAAACTTTTCAGTTGCCTCTTCAATTTCTGGAGTTGTAGAGGTTCATTCCCCCCCTAAACTTCCGGCAAAACTGTTCAGTTGCCTCTACAGTTTCTGTAGTTGTAGAGATCCGTTGCCACCCTACACATCCGGCTCCAAAAGTGACTATCCAGTTACCTCTACAGTTTCTGGAATTGTAGATGACCATTTCCGCCCTTAACATCCAGGTAAACTGTTCAATTGTCTCTACAGTTTATGGAGTTATAAAGATCCGTCGCCGCCTTACACATCCAGCTACAAGATTGACTGTCCGGTTACCTCTACAGTTTTTGGAGTTCTTAATATCCTACACTTTGCAGTTTCTGGAGTTATAGAGGTGCGTCGTCGCCTTACACATTCAGCTGCAAGATTGACTGTCCGGTTACCTGTACAATTTTTGGAGTTGTTGAAGTCTTACACTTTAGGTTGCAAAATTAACTGTCCAGTTGCCTTCATAGTTTCTAATGTTGTAGAGATACGTTTTCGCCCTATTCACCCAGCTAAACTGTTCAGTAGCCTGTGTAGTTTCTGGATTTGTAGAGGTCCTGCACTTTAGGTCGCAAAATTGACCGTCCAATTGCCTCTACAGCTTCTGGAGTTGTAGAGGTCCGTTACCGCCCTGCATTTCCGGCTTGAAAATTGACTGTTCAATTGCCTCTACAGTTTCTGAAGTTGTAGTAGAGGTACGTTGCAGCCTAACACGTTCAACTGCAAGCCTAACTGTCCGGTTACCTGTACAGTTTCTGGATTTGTTGAGATCCTACACTTTAGGTCGCAAAATTGACCGTCCAACTGCCTCTACAGTTTCTAATGTTGATAAGATACGTTGTCGCCCTATACATCCAGCGCAGCAATTCAGTTGCCTGTGTAGTTTCTAGAGTTGTAGAGGTCCGTTGCCGTCCTACACTTCCGGCTTAAAAATTAACTGCTCAATTAACTCTATAGTTTCTGGAGTTGTTGACGCCCTACACTTTCGACAGCAACATTTACTGTCCAGCTGCCTCTACAGTTTCTAAAGTTGTAGAGATACGTTGCCGTCATACACGTCCTGCTGAAAAACTGACTATTCATTTACCTTTACTGTTTGTGGAGTTGTAGAATTTCGTTGCCACCCTACATTTCCGGCTTGAAAATTGACTGTTGAATTACCTCTACAGTTTCTGGAGTCGTAGAGATGCATTGCCGCCCACTCTTCCACTTCCAAAAAATCAGGAATCACACCTTACAGCTTGTTTTCATAACGGAAACTATTAGTCCGCCATGAAGCAACGGATGTTTAAAAATTAGATATCCAGGCAAACATTAACTTCTCGAGTGGCTGCGTCTCTTAATTTCCACTTATAACTTGTAATGTCCTCTAAAATTTGCCGCATCTATTTGTTTTTCTCTTATATTGCAGGTCTGAGCCGTTATCTCACCATGCAATTGTTGAAATTTTAATTAATCTCGACCCTGCATCCTTACGGCACTATAAACCTTATACGGTACTATTTGACACAAGAAAGTTTCTAAGTTTGGCAAGCAGTTTAAAACACAAAATTATAAGTTATATTTTAAACAAAAGGTAACTCGAAATAAAGATTCTTGAAAATCGCCCTTTCGTCTACTGTTCGTATTTCAGTAGCTTTCTCTATAAGCAGGTAGGTAGGTAGGTACATCATTATGCATATATTGTATGAGCATTGTCGTTTATTGTTTTTCTTTTCCTTTTCTGCAAGAGCGTTGTTATTATCCTTGCTTGCTCCAGTTTGAATTTGAATAGCAGCGTGGTACTGAAGTCCCGAAAGAAGAAATCTTTGTAATTCGTGTTGCCGTCTTTCCCTTTTATGAACCCCTGGAACAATCCGTTCTGAGAAGAAAACAAAAGTTGATTCTCAGGAGGAGCTCGGGCTCCGCTGTGCTGGAACAATGACATTCAACGGCAAAGCTCGTTTATTTCAAACACGAAATCGCTTCCTCGCTTGCTGTGAGCGAGCTTCTTTAAAAAAAAAAAACGCTTCTTATTTGTGCGAGCTGTCAACGATACTTTTTTTTGTTATTTGAGTAGGCAACAATTAAATCTTATAGACTATTAAAAGGTAGGATGCTTATAAGTAACTACTGAATATGTTACGCATGTATGAGCACTGTCCAAGTAATGTTAGTCCAAGAGCTTACGAATTACGGATTTATGTCGTAATAGAGAATCATTTTTAAGAATATGCTTAATTTTTGTGAATATGATAGTTATCCAATTATTATTTGCTGTCACGTATGTAAGCAACGTTGTCAATTCAGTTACACGAATATCTCAGCCACCGTTTGAAATACTTCAGTACTAGAAAATACCCAGTAGATGGCGTTACACTGTTTGTACCTTTTTCGGATGAAATCAAACGTAAAAACTGTGATGCATTCTACGATACATTGGTCAGAGTGATCAAGTTTTTAACTTTAGTTTGAATGAACATATAAATAAAATAAAACATTACATGTATATGATAGTATTTATAAAGAGTAAGAGAATAGAGGACTATATGGAAGTCAATAA